CTCTTAAGGTTCCTCCATGGCATTAGATTGATGCCTGAAATCTGCACCAGTTCAGCACCTTGACTCTTTACATTTTCAACCATTCTGTTGTAGATTTCCTGCTGTGCTTGGGCTCACCATCCCATTACATGACCCAAGCTTTAGTAATAAAGCTTTAGCTATAGACAGATGGCATCACATTTGACTCTAGAATTTATTGGTAACAAAGAGGTCATGTTTGACTTAATGACTACAAGGTACCCAGGTCCTGTGGCTGCAAAGCAAATCCAAATCATCACCCCTCCACCTGCTTGATTGGCAGCTGGTCTGAGGTGTTTGTGCTGGCATGCTGGTATGTTTGACCTTTAACATTTAGCGTGCTAACTGAGGCCTTTAGCGTCCGAGATGTTGCTCTTGGGATTTTGCTGTTTCTTTAAGCATTAAACGTCCCAGCAAATTTACCTTAGCATGAATTTCCAGCAAATTCATCCTAAGGTCAGTTTGCTGGGATGTCCACTCTTTTGCACATGTGACCAATCCTTCTCACTGCAGAATGATGGACTTTGATGAACTGCAACAACAGCTTCTCTAAGCTAGTTTCTTTCCTGCTTTCTATTGTGTTAAGAGACCTAGATGCACCAGAGCAGCAAACTACTAAAACTTCTGCTTTGATAGAGGTGCTCACATTTGCTGATGATCCATTAATGAAGTGCATTTTCCATTGTATGACATGCCACACTGTGTTGTTGTTCAAATTGACAGCATAATAAGCTATGAGGAACAGATAAGTTTTCATTATGCCCTGACAGGCAAAAGTGTAGAACTTTTTAAAAAAAACAAAAAAACAACAACAACACATGACTGTACACACAAATGCACGTGTGGACAGCAACTCTCGCCCTGAGGTTTAAAGGGAAATAACAACCTATTCTTCCTTTTTTACATTGTCAGAATAACTCGTTTCAGTTAGGTCTGTCATCACTTTTCTTCCACGGCATGTTTACTAAAAGTCACAAAAGAAAAATGAGTAATGCTCATTGTGTTGGACCACACACCCTGTAGGTTACGCACAAAGTCACGTGACCGTTTAGTTCCAAAGTAAAAAATGTGTATGTCTCAGTGCAGCGATCTGCTATGCTGAACTGATTTTCCTGGTTGGAAATGCATCATATTCTTGGAAACAGGTTCACTGAGCCACTGAACTATGCATCTCACAATGAAAGACCATCATTTTCTTACTGGCAATAACACATAAGAGGAAAAACAAGCACTTCAAATAAATGCTACTCTCGACTGCTCCCTTGTCACATGGGGTTGCAACATCGGGTGGCTTTGCATGTTTGATTTGGCAGAATTTTATGCCAGATACGCTTACTGACACAACTTCAAAAGACAATGACATATTTCACTGATTTAACTCTTGGGTCCAATGGCTCTGTCATGGAATCCTTACACAGTGGTGTTACACTGTTTGCTGTCACTGAATGCAGAAAACACCCTTATTGCAACAGTACAGCTACATACTTCAGATACAGTACTGTATCTTATCCTTGAGCAATAGACTTTCAGCAAGACAATGCTAAACCCCAAATTGCATGTATAAAAAGAGGATTGCTTCATACTTGAAGAATCCAGATGCTGAACTAGCCTGCCTCCAATCCTGTTCAGCAGCTATAATCAGACAAGAATGGGTAAACATTCCCCAACCAAAAGCCCAGAAACTCATCTACTCACTTCCCAGACATTGCTGTTAAAAAGAGAGACGATGCTACACGGTGGTAAAAATTACATTTTTTGTCTATATTCTATTTGAATAAAATAAAATTTGAATAAAATGTGGGTTTATGAGATTTTCAAATCAATGCTTCCTATTTATATTTAAAATTTACATAGCGCCCCAACTTTTTTGGAAATGGGGCTGTATATTTGGTCAAGCCACATGTTACGTTGTTGTTTTAAAAAAAATTTCTGACAAAATTCTTATATTTAACACAAATAAAATTAAGTAAATGTTGACAGTGTAACTTAAATCTAGTTGCAACTTTTCTCAGCGGTGACTTTGAAGGTCTGAAACTTTTTTAAAATAATGTGATGTATAAAACCTTGATGTAACAGTATAAAGAGCGAAATAGGCGGTATCCACCAATGTGGTTCTCTTTGAAGAAAGCCAAACCTATCTCCCCTAAAGCACCTAGCTGGTTTAAATAATACAAAACACAAAGGTATCAAAAAGCTACAGTAACATTAAAAGCATGATATATTTTATAAGAGATCTTATTTATACCAGGGATCTGTATGGGAAAAGAAAGAAAGAAAGAAAACTGCTAGTGTGTGATTTCCTTTTACTTTAGTTTTAACTTCTTTTTTTTTTTTTCTTTCAGTGAAAAGGATAAAAGTGTAACAGAAGATGGAAAATGTAGCACGAAATCTTGGCTACTTTGTTATTCTGCATGTTAATAAGTGTGCTGTGAGCTCTGCGGATAGTCAAACTTTTGGGGTTTTTTTGGTCTTTTTTCACTAAGCTGACCTGCTGCTCATGTTGGCCTCAAATTTAACATGTAGATATGAAATGGATAGTCGACGTTCTTAGGAAAATAGCAAATGTACTGTTATACAGTAGTTCTTTTTACTACTGTGTGTGCTTCTAGTGTAAACAAGATCACTTTTGATTTGAAAGTGGGAAGTCACGTAAAAATTGCTAGGTCCAATATTACACTTCATTTAAAAACACACACACATCAAGCAAAACAGTATAATTTCATCACAAATTAAGCGGGAACGCATATATAGTTTTCCCTCTTGGGGCCAAGTCTAAAGCTAACTAGGAGTAGCCTTCTTTGAACAAGGATTTCTTAAAGATTAATTTCTGTGGGCGCTGTGTAATGATTAATATCTGAAAACAGTCTAGCGAGCATTTGCTCATGAGGCCATTACGAGATTTTACAGCTCTCTCGGACACATGACTAACCCCAGAGTTCATACCATCTGTGTTTGGCTAATGCCAGTAATAATCGCTGCAGATTAATCATCAGGCCTTGACTGTCAAAGACGTCATAATAAAGCAACTTCTCAAAAGTGCTATTTATCAGGCATGATATAGAGCAAAGCCTGTAATCTGAATCAGTAGGGGAAGAGTGAGCTCTTTGTTGCTCGCTGAGCTCACGAGACTGTGTGCGATGTGGCCAGTTTGGCTAGTGAACCATAAATTGCAAACTCATAAGGGGGAAAACTTCAATCCCGTCACGTTTCTGGAGTAAGTCGAACAGCGCAAACAGCCTGCAGTGACGCATTTGCAGCTGAGCTGATTTTTAGTATACCCCCTGCTTCTTGTTTTCTTCTCATTATGCCCCTTCACCCACTGGCTGTGGTCACGGTTGTGCTCTTCTTGTTTATTTCACCGAATTTGATATGCTACTCCCATACTGCCAGATGATTATCTCTCTCTCTTTGACCTTTACTGTGTTTTCATTCTTTTGTATCTCACTCCCAGCAACAATCTGGTAGCTCTCTTGATATGTCTTGATGCCAATGTGTGCATGTGTCACCACATCATCTTCTGTCTTGATTTTTATTGTCTTTCCCCGTGTCCGTCTATAATCCCTTTATAGAGCTGTCCAGAGTGTATAAGTGTGCACTCATTTATGCTGAGCTCATGCCCAAAAAGACGCAGGTACTCTTTCTTTTCCACTACTGGGGATTTTGCCAGACTAAAAACACAGAGGGAAAACAGGAAAAATCTGTTCTCCTTTTCCGGTCAAAGAGTCAAGGAAAACGGGACAGAAAGCAGCACAAGGGAGGATATGATGACATCTTTCATTGTGATATTGTTAATTGTTGTAGCTGCGTACTGAACAAACTCAACCGTCACCATTATTTAGTGGCAGGTGTACTCCATTTTCTCTATACGCTCAGAGAAAGCTGAGAGCAGCAAGATTCCCTGGTAGGACCAGAAATACAGTATATAAACCTCCGAGCTCTGAGTCTCAGAGGCTTCAAATTTGTTTTTCTTGTTTTATCTTCCTCATGCGTCATAATGGAAGCCAGTGAGATAGTTTCACTCTGCACTGATTACTTGGAGGTCATGGTTTGTGAGAAATGTGGAGGAGGAAGGACAATAAGAGACTCACAGTTGTGTTGTATTTTTCCTGCTGTGGGACACTCCTCGCAGCCCATCTGTGCTGATAGGAAGTCGAGCACCCATGTGTGTAGGCCATGCTGACGTCAATTGGACTTGAAGAACCAGTGCAGCAAGAACCAATATCGACACCTCCCTCCTCTTTTTCTTTCACTTGTTGCATTCTACCTAATCTGAATCTAAACCAGTAGGTGCTTCTGTTGTTCTCACACTTTGGTTTTTCCTCGGTGCCTCCATAATGACACTTCACGGGAATTTTGCGCATTACCAAGTCACAGTTTCCTCCTTGAATAACGAAGGCCTGCTGCTTATGTTTGCATTTGTGAAAAGAATCAAAGATAACATTTTATCCTGGCTGGGAAAACATCTAACTCAGTACTTTTATGGAAATTTAAAAGAGAAACTATATTTCCTTATGTAAATGTGTGTTGTGTGCAAAGGGACAATCTATTTGAACACTGCAGAGGCGTGAAATAAGCAATCCATTGTATGCCACTTTCACGTGTTTGAAACCTAAACTATTATTTTTGCTAACAACTGTGCAGACTTCAGTTGCATGCAAGAATCCCCATCTGTGTAAATGCATTACAGCACATGCATTGGAGAACAATTGGACATCACTGGCTGTTCCATTTGTTTTCTTTGCTTTTTTTCAGTTCAGCATCTTTCTTTTTTGGCTCACTCAAAACTTTAACTGAGCATCATTCTGCTCAAGCATCAAAACCTGGAATTTGTAATCTCAGAAATTGCAAAAGCCATATAAACAGCACAGACAGTTAGCACTGTATGTGTGTTGCAGGGTGCAACATTTCCCAGAATCATTCATTCTGATAAGGGTGATAATGAACTCCCTTTTCTTTCTTTAACAGAAGGCTTAATCACTCACCTGACAGGCACACTTTGGTGACATGGGGCTGATTTGTAGCGGGAGACCTCCTGCAACAGAGAAATAATTTACAAAGTTTTAAAAATTAGGAGCCTGGAAACATTCTTCCATCATTTATTTATTTATTTATTTCATTTGGTTCCAGTCGGTCTTTGTTGCCATAAGATAAACACAAAACAACTCCCTTGGTTCTCTGAACAGGTCTCAGGCTTGCGGTGATCCTTTTCTCTGAGGTCAGATTGACTCAGTGTGCACCTCTGGCAAATGTGATGCAACTACAACCACTGACCCAATTCAGTGATCACTGGAAACCTGCGAGCACTTCCATGTAAAAGATGATGTTTGTGCCTCTCATAACAAAAAATAGAATTGAAATGTCACTGTGTCCAGTTTTGTGTCACCAGCAAAAGGCTCTTGAGATATGTGAATTTATATTTGCGAGACTTCTTCACAAGCCCACAGCATTATAAAAGTTTCTGAAGCTTTGGTGCCCCCAAGTGGAGCATGCTGGCATCTCCAACCATTGTCAAAACAGACACTTATGAGCCACAACATTAAAACTACCAACAGGTAAAGTGACAAACACTGATGTGTGACTTACTGGTGTATCTCCAAAAACTAAAATCCACAGGCAGATTTTTCCTCAATAAAAAATAAATATTAAATTGTGGATCATAAAAACTCTAAGTACAGAAACTAATAATGATCCCACTTACTTATTAGATACACACTGTACATTTGTCAAGGTGGTGAAGTTGTTCCTAACTGTCCGAAGACTTGCCAGAACCTAAAGAGAAGATCAAAAGACTGACGTAAGAGAAAGAATGTGCAAAAAGTAAAAGTGAAATTTAAAACAAGACATTTTGCGTGAAAATAAAATAGTGTGAAAAATGTTTAAGGACTATAACACAGGAAAGCATGGAGAATAACCTTTGCTATTGACCATGTGTTTAAAAGAGAGGTGTTTTAAAGAATTGTGATTCTTTTATTTTATGACTAGTTTGGGGCAAATTACTGTTTTTAATAATGTAATTAAATAATATGGCACTAAATATCTCTATATTATTTATACATTTCTATACTGTTTGTCTGAAAAGGTTTCTGCAATGAAGCTGAAATCCGAGTGTAGAGTTCTCCTGCCATGTCGATGTTGTTATATATCCTCATTGCCAATTGTGGGCAAAGAGTTCAATATGGCGCCATGGGACATTTAGATTAAAAAGTTCTTGTGAGAAATTGTGTTTTATATTCTGAGATAATTGATGCTCTTTGTACTTGATCTATGGAGCTATGACAAGCTCTTACCTGGGCAAACGGTGTCACAATCAAGTCTTCTCCATGTCTGAAAAATGACAGTAATGAAAGGAAAGCCTGTTACACAAACAGACAAACACATAGCTAACTGACCACTGAGTGTAATGTGACAATGCTGTGATTAAAACCACTCACAATTCTCCAACGATGGAAGAATTTCGGGATAAGGATTTTGGTGATAGCTCATAGTCGCTGTCAGAGCGGTACAGGAAGGACTCCCGCCGCTGGCCGTAAGCTGCCAAATTGGGATGAAGAACCAGACCTGAACCTGGGGATGCCTGAGGGTCTGATGGGCTGCAGCACACTGATGGGCCATTCTCCCCTTCAAAACTAAAAGAAAGTTAAAAAAAAAAAAAAAAAAAAACAATCCGGGGGGAGAGAAGAAAATATCAGGATGTGATTCTTTACAACGCAAAGCAAGTTCTTTAAATCTATTAGTTTTAAAAGCATAAGCCAAAGTCTGATTGATCATCAATCTTGCCATTTAGATTTAACTTTTAAATCATCGTCGTCATCTTGAATATACCTTCCGTAATCTACCTGTAAGTACTGGCTTGCAAAACATGTTGACAAATCCTATCCAGGAAGTAGATTATTGCATAAATCCTAAAAAAATTACTCATCCATTCATCCACAGCTGAAAAAAACAACAACTATAACACTCATAAAATAAGTATGCTTCACTGTCTGTACAAGCAGGGCTGGTTTTACTGTAATCTGCCCGTCTGGTTTGTTTCTTACGGGAACACTGTCCATGACAGTTCCATTCAAACTCAGCAGTTAGGAAATGACATACAAAGAGTGACCAGCTGCCTGATGTGTGATTCAAGGCACATTTTTGCTTTTTTACTAACTACGTTTTCTTTTACAGTAACTGATGCACTCACAAGCATCTGCCTACATCTTGATTACCTTCCCTCATTGTTTAAGATGAATGTATTTGAACACTAAAATTGAACTAATGATAATAAACAAATTTAAAAGGAAGACAATACAATATTGTAGAATTTATAGCTTTTCTTAGCATGTGATGCTTACAACCTTGATGCCATCTAAAAAATTCATATATATTAAAATTGTTTTTAAAATTGACAAGCAGAAATCAGAAAGAGCAACCAGAGAACTCATGCTCAGAGCAAAAATAAACCAACATGCTAACTGCTAAATGCAGCTTTCCTCAATAGTTGTTTGATCAATAACAACCACCACAGATGCACACAGAGACATAATCTGTTTGTCACCACAGAGTTTATGTAGAGGACCGGGACGAGTTATTGTGTAACCAGATGATTGGGTCAGATGGACAGGAGTTTAGAGGTGCAAGGTCAAACTGTCAGTGCCCAGCAGGAATAGCAGATGCCACAAACCATGAAATGGAAAAATAACTCAGAGTCCTTGGCTTGATTACCATTTACATACTTCATTTTATTAGAAGTGCCACTTCATGTTTTCTCCATGTTAAAGCCCGCCTCTTTAATTTCTCCTACATGTGGGATTAACTAGGCGCGTGTCCCACTGAGACAGTCCCACACCTCTGCCAGAGAAGCTCAGATTAATGTGAGAACTCTGATTACACACATGCAGGAAGACCAGCGTCATCTGTGTTGTGCTTTGCGTCATTCAGTTTCAGCAAACAACATATTTTAACTACAGCTACCTAATCCCACAGTGTGAAACCAATCAAGAACCTTCAGTAAATATGCACTACAGTGGAAATGAAAAGGTTAAAAGAAAAAGAGCATCATGTTAAAATCTACCAGTGAAGTTATTTTTCTAAAATATTGACATGTAGAGTGAAAAAAGGACTCATATACATATATAAAATACTCAGTGCAATAAAAAAAAAGTGAAAACTACTGAAACATCACCTTGGAGCTGAGAGGTGTGCTCTGTTGACAACTTCCTCACTGAAGTCAAAATGTCCAGCTCTGCACCTAGGAGACCTTCGAAACATTTTTCTCCCTCTTCAAGGTCCACATCGAGCAACATAAAACAGTGACACTGTCTGCTCACTCATACACACACACACACTTTTGCAGCCTCCCCTTTCTGTCCAGTAGCAGCCCACGTGCTGGAATAACGTAGGCTTGGCAGATGCTAACATGCAGATCTGGGCTGAAGCGCAGGAAAAACGCACCAGCAGTCGCTCTGTTTATCTGGCCGCCTGTCCTTTATCCCTCTGTATTAAAACACAGCGCCGACAAGACTTTACAGTGGGACGTCGCGATTAAGTTGAAAATCCAGATCCTCATTTATTTGCCAACTTTGGAGATTATAGTTAATGTGCATTTAATGTACACTGTACATATTTCCCCAGATGAGAAAAAAAAAACATCTGTGTGTTAAGAGACAGTACAGTGACTGTGTGGTGTAAAATAAAGAGGAGAACTAGCAGGAGGTTTCTGATGCCGTGATGTGTTATTAAAGCTGCAATATGGCTAACACTATTACTGTGCTCTTCTTCTGATAGCAGACAATGTATTATTAGAAATTCTCTGGTACTTAGCTACTATTTATAAAACTCAATGTCCATAACAGTAGTTGATTTCTGTGATTAGGCTGAAGGTCTGTTGACTTGGTTGACATGTGGAAGACTGAGGAGAACCAGAGCTTAAGTAAAAGCCTTCCACATACAGTATATACAGCGGGGTCACAGTTCCACGTAGGCCTGGAAATCGTCAGGAAATCTGATGCTTGGATTAACATTTAAAACCACCAGAGATTATGAGGGGTACAATGAATTTTACAGACTACTAATCAAATCAAAGATAATTTATGATCTGACCACAATGTCAGATTTCAACTTGCATGTCACTGCCTGGTACAGCAAAACATTGCTCACTAAGCAGCCTTGTGGTAGTGGGACTTGGATCATAAGTAGGTGAAAGTGTCAAATTACTTTTCTAGTTGCATGATAACCAGATGTATCTAAAGAACAACCAGACAGGTCAGAAGTAGTCACGCTATCAGCAGATTGATATGTTTTTTCACTTAGACATGAAAGTTACAAATTAATTTTATCAAAGACAGAGGGTCCCAAATAGAAAATAGGGGAAAAAAAGTACTGTCAAAAAATGGCCTGACGCTAAACAAGGCTAAACTCTTTGGACTGGATAAAACCATTACCAATGTTTCACAACTGACGATTGAGGAAAAAAAAATCCTGTTTCCTGATGAATTCAAGTTTGTGGCATTAACAGAAGGATTTATTTAAGAAGGGAAACAAAGGAGAGAATCGTGCCGTAGTCTATAAAAACAACATGGGCTAGCCACACACATTAATGTAAGTACATCCCAGAGAAGAAAGTCCCAGCACGCTGCTTTGCTCAGCGTGTACTTTTAAAAATATTTTAAGAACTAAAACATTTGTGATGAAATCACGCCCCAAGGGTGAATTTCATCATCTGAGTATTTCAACACTCTGTACGTACAGCACAGGGATGTCTGCCAATCGCTTTGGTCTTGGAATCACAAATGGCTTTCCAGAGATGTCTCACACTTTTATCGTAATAAAGTGTTTGCTGTGTGTTTTATTGCAAGCTTGCAATGACAACCCCATGATATTGGGCTATATGAATAAACTTTACCTTATGTAAGGTATGACATAAAGGGGACTGTTTCCTGTTAATATATCTTTTTTTATGTGCTATTTCAGGGTCTTTTTCCAAGGCATCTTTCCACACCAATGAGTTATTTTTAAAAAATGAGTCCCCTGAGCTCTAACTCATCCTGGAGCAGGGACATTTTTGACAACCTGAAATAAACTACTTCTAAATAAGGGTCCGCCTGAGTTACTAAATAAATCCACAATCACGACTACCTGCTGTAGCTCTTCAAAAACACAATACAGCTGACAAGCAAACCCACTACTTGGGTTTCAATCCTCTATTTTATTTATTTAATTCTCTCTTTAACACCCTCAAAAGAATATCCTTACCATGCGCTGGCTACAGTGAAGCGTCTGTATCGATGTAGACGTCTGATCGTTGCCTGCTTGCCTGAGGATCTTGGTGAGAGTTTCTGGCCAGAATGACTAGAAGTAACACTGCAACAGTCTGCCTGGCCCAACCCGACCCCTTTGAATTCTATACTAGTTTCCATTAAAGAGTCCGCTTTACAACCAAATCTGATGCCGGACAAGACTGCACTAAAATATTCACTCAAACTCAAATAAATATGTCTGAACGTATGATTTATTTTTATTGGTTGATATTATCCAGACAATCCTCCACTGCATTATTCATAATGCTAATCAATATGAACAGAAGCCTTTTAAAACAAGCTGACTGGCTAGTCAAAAGCAGCTGGAAAACAAAGCAAAAAGTTATGGGGCGTCTCCAGTGTTGTGCAATAAACAGAGCAAAAGTTTCTCTGCTCCTGACCTGTAATCCAGTTAAATCCAACCCATGTTTTTCAAAAGCATGAGGACATAGTATAAGCCTTATACAGATGAAAGCAACAAAAAATACGGACACCAGATAAAATAGATTCAAAAGATCTCAAAAAGCGAAAGTAGTTTGGTGGGATGAATTATAATTGCTCAACGAAATAATACATACGGGAAACTGCTATTCAGCAACTTCAAGTGTGTGCATGTTCTTCCCATGTCTGTGTGGGTTTTTCTGGGGAACTCTGGCTTCCTCCCGCATTCAATAGACATGAATCTTAGTTTGACTGGTTATTCTAAATTTGCCGTAACGTGAATGTGTTGTCTGCCTCTTTGTGTTGGCACTGCGATAGACACATGAGCTGTCGAGTATGTACCCCGTCTTTCACCCCCAAAAAATTCATAAATGCCAACTTTGTTGCTTGCTTGCAAATCTAATGTCAGATCTAGATGGGAGAAAACACTGGCCTCCCGCTGTTACCCGTTACACAAGCTGTGCTGCTTTCCTCAAATTACTACATTATTACTGCAGCACAACAAAAGCACAAACGCAGAGAAGTACAAGGAAAAAAAATAATGCCCAAACGTGCGCAGCATCGGTGCCGCCTTATAAAGCGTTTGAGCGTGTCAGTGTGTTTATCACAGCCTCACCTGTCAGGGTCAGCCTGTGTGATGTCAATGCGAGGCAGAGAGGCGATGGGCAGGCTCGTGGGTCTGCTATGGGTTACGGGATCTCCTTCTGGTGTTAGCGGCCTTCCCCTTTCCCTCTCCTTCTCTGCCTGTCGCCATGACAACGGAGGCAGCTGCAGATTGCCAGAAAACCGCCTGTGGACTTTGAACACCTCCACCCCGAGAGTGTTGCCTGCAGAAAACTGTCCCACAGGAGGCTCCTTATTTTCCTGACAGAAAGGAGATAACGAATGTTTAGCTTTGATACGAAATTGTCTCAGAAAAAGAAAATCAGTAAGGGAAAATGTTAAAGAAGTAAAAAATGTGCATAGCACATAAGAAATGCTATAAATAAGAGGATAAAATGTAAAACCATGGGGGAAAAACGTGATTTAAAAAATAAAAATGGATGGATGAAATTAACACCTTGAAGTTTTATGCATTCACAGGCCAGTGAAACTACTTTACATCCATGTCTTACCTTTCTATGTAAATGTCCTTCTTATTAGACATTTGTTTGAACTTTTGTCAAAATTTGCACATGTAGTGTGAGTTGTAGCCAAAAATATATTTTGTGACCTCTGACCACTAAATTATAATCGCATCATCATTCAGCCAACAAACATTTGCACTTAATTCATGTGAATTCAAGACTTAGGTTTTTTCGGTCAACTGCAAAACCTAAAGCTTCCAGCTATGGTTGGAAATGCAAAAATAAATAAATAATAATAAATAAAAAGTGCCAGCTGATATGTCGATGAAGCTGTGCAGAGTGTAAATATTGTATGTTTAGTGCGTCTTCTTTAGCATGAAGTTTCCAGTATGGATCACAGAGTGATTCATTGAAATGACGGGGACTGAAGAATTCCTAGAATGGGTCTGAGGCTATCGAGAAATGATTTGGTTTTTTATGTCAATGTGGCCACAGGAGGCTAGACAGACAAGAAGAGTGAGAAATACAGAAGCTGACAGCTAGTGTGAAAAGGAAAGAGCGCGAAGCTACAGTCTAACCTCCCTGTGATCCAGACGGAAAGCTTACCACGGAAAGCTTACAACAACAACAAGGCTCTTTAACCCAGTCAGTATCTGATATCTGAGGCAAATACTCTTATGTTGCCCTGCAGTGTTATTTTCTAATGTAAATATTTCATATACACAACAGTCTTAGTATAGATTTTTTAAGAGAGCTGTGAACACGTGGAACAACTTGAAAAATGAACTTAGTGCTCTCTAGTGGACAAACCATGCAATGATTCATTCAAATAAACCTATTTCACAGACACCATTTAGAAATGAAACTGGGGTTTAAAAAGTAGTGAGGGCCAGAACTGTTTGTTTTAATGTATCACATTTAAATTACAGCACTTCTGATCCAATGACCCAAAGAAAAGGCTACACTTCTGCAGAAACCAAGTCCTAGAGTTGCAATATAATGAAAACCAGAAACTGTAATGAATTTATTCTGTACACTTCCCCATTCTGAAATATAGAAGACGGATGCTGAAATAAAAATAACAAAATACATAATTATTCCTTTGAAATTAAAACAGCACAAAGTAAAAGTCACTTACTCGATTGCTGTGGTTCTGATTCACTACTCATGCCTAAGCCAATCAAATATCATTACACACTGATTCACCTCTCATTTTGAAAAAATAAAATAAAATAAAATGAAAATAAATCAATAAATAAAATAAAATAAAATGTAGATCCAGACTTTAGTGATGTTATAGTTGGTTAAGGCCATGTATGAAACTGTAGGCAAACACAACTGTTACTAATGGCATTAATGAAGATTCTTTATATGATATCTCATTAATTACATGGTAACACTGGGAGTTTAACCTTTGTATAGTATCACATTTAAGTCAGTGTAACAAAGAGCCAAAAACACAGGATCAAAATTGGGAAGCACATTTGATGACAACAGTGAGGAATAATTATATGGTAACTTTCAAAAACATAATTATGCTTTCAATATTTGGATTCATAAAAAGTAATACGATAACATTAATATGCTAACTCGATAACAGCAATATTTCAAAAAGTAAGGAAAATTGTGTTTAATCAATTATTTCAACAAATCTGATACCGTTGGACATCCTGTTCATTTCCCCTAAAATGTCCCACATTTGTACGGAAAATGCATTTGTGGGTGGAGCAGCAGAGTTCAATATGTGGATGGCGCCCATGAAAAACGTAACAAATCTTCTCTGTCAAACTCGAAATGACCACTGAGAAAAACATTCCAGTTAATACGGTTATCCAGTTACAGCAGTGATTCTTCACTGGTGTATGGAAAGCACATGGTAAACTCAACTGAGTGTTCAAACGGATAGATGTTTGGACAACATATAGATATTATTTAACTGACAGTGTACACAGCCAGGTGTCTGTCTAATGGGAGAAATGAGACAAAGATTATGTCATCCCATTTCCTCTTTCCAATCAATGTGACTGACAAGTAATAGCAGGAAAGTACCCTGCAAGACATAAATGAGAGATAACTGCAAAAAAGACGGGAACAGGGAAGGAAAAGACTCCGAATGACAGAGTGAACACGAGATAGTTGAAGAAACCAATGCAGAGATGGGAGTGTGCTGTCCTTTCTGATTGTCAGTAAACCGACTGCGCTTCACTCCCGGCTCGTTCTGTGCAATTTGCCTGACATATTGCTCCTGTCTTTTTAAAGATATATTCTTCCTCTCCCAGGAAAATGGGTGAAAATTAAATCTGGCAAAACATAAACTGTCCGGAAAACCAATCGAAGTTTGTTTCCATTTACTAAACCACTTGTCAAGCAGAGAACTAAATAGTCTCCTGTCAATATGTCAGTGTTATTGGGTAAATTATTTATTATTTGTTTATTGATTGCAACTGTTGTCTCACTATGTAATTCTATTTCTCCACTGATCACTTGCCCATGACATCAGGAAGAAAGTATAAGGCCAATTCACCTTGTATATAAAATATAAGCCAGGGGACGAAACATTAGTAAACCTGGATTTGTAATGTGTGTCAGAACATGGTCATAAAAGGAAAGGAACTAAGATGAAAGGGAAAACAACAGATCTCAAACGGAGGTAGTGTAGCTGCACAGAGTCAAACAGAGGTGGAGTGGGTGTTTTCTCCAGGAAGATGAAAGGCCTTTCTTGGCTGCAGAGCTGAAACAGCTCCAGTGTTTTGTGGGGCACTTCCAAAAAGCCTTTTTGAGAAAGGCGATCATAAATGAGACGGCTTTAGGAGTGAAGCTCCAACAGCATGGCTTTATGTAGTGACTGAATTATTAAACCTTTCAGCAAAGACGGGAAAAATGACTCTTGCTTTAATTATGTAAGTGCTACAGAATCTAAAAGAAAGGTAGGACACATCAAACACTGTCGCATAGCGAATTCATGCTTAAATAGTTATTAATCTTCTCTGTGAAGCAAACAAAAACCTCAAGCTTGGAAATGAACAAAATTAACACACACAGTGGATAAAAAGAAATAAACAAATCTCTTTGAATAAAGTAATCTCTGTTACACTTTCAAAACTACCAAACGCCAACATGTGAGTCATTTAGGGAACACTACAGCAGCCCACTGCCACAGCCAAATTCTCACATAGTGGGAAACACTGCAGTGCACAGCTATAAAAAGCAGCGTAAGTAATTACTGAAAAAACAGAACAAGTAGAGAAAAAATATTTAAGGCACACCAACATACTATGTAGTACATCCACTCACCAGCCAGTTTATTAGGTACACCTTACTAGTATCAGTTTGGAACCCCTTTTGTCAGAGGTGCTGGACAACACATTATAATACTGGTACCATATGATACTGAAATCAACTTTCTTTTCCATTCAGAGCTTCAGTAGGACGCCTTCACCATGCACCGAATGTATTGAGTTACTGCCACGTAATTGGCTGATTAGATATTTGCCCTAACAAACTGTAGCAAGGGAAAGAAACAGCCGACATCATAAGGTTCAGAAAAGAGAGCTCTATTATGAAGCT